AGACGCTGTCCAAATGTGGCTTTCCCTTGGTGACAATGTGGCCGATGCTTCTAGCCTGGCTCCTGGCTGCTGCCATCTCTCTGAGTCATCCCAGGACGAGAGTCAGTTAAGTCTGCCCCACACCCCACAGGCAGGGAATTGGCCAGAGGACAGGCGTAAGGTTCGGCACTCCCTTGCTGCTCCATGCTGGGTACCACAGGATCACGAGTGATTTATTTCTTTAAGTCAAATAGTAGTTTGTTTCCACAGCCTCTGTTATCAAACTGGCAGAGCAATACAAAATAAACATCCTACATGGAAAGCCACTGTGGCGAAAGAGTTAAACATGCTGGGAGAGTTAAGCCCTCCTAGCTAGAAGACCAGACCACACAGGGTGGGCAGAAGCCACCCACCTCTGAGAAATACTTGGACCTTTTATTTCTTTTCTTTTCTTCTTTTTTTCTGTGTTGTTTGTTTGTTACTGGAGATCAGGTCTAGACCTTTTTATTTTCCATTTCCTCCCTTGTCTTGTTCTCTAGGGCCTTTTTCATTTTGATTTTTCCTTTTCTGTGTCTATGGCTGCGTGTGTGTGTGTGCGTGCGTGCGTGCGTGCATGCGTGCACGTTTTGTTTGTGTGTGGACGCATATGTATGTATGAGCATGTGCACACAGAAGCCCAAGACTGGGATTGAGAATTACCCATGTTCTCTACCACACATACTGAGGCAGAGTCTCTCTCTGCTTTTGTGTGGATGTTTGCCTATAAGTATGTCTGTGCACCACATGTGTGCCTGGTGCTCCAGGAGGCTGGAAGAGGGCTTCAGATCCCTGGAAGTAGAGTTACAGGTGGTTGGAAGCCACCATGTGGGTGCTGGCAACTGAACCTGGGTCCTTTGGAAGAGCAGACACTGCTCTTAACCACCGAGTTATCACTCCAGCCCCCAGAGGCAGAGGGGTCTTCCAATCAAACCCAGAGCCCACCAATGCAGTTAGTCTTTTTTGGGGGGAGGGAGCGGATTTCTCTGTGGCTTTGGAGGCTGTCCTAGAACTAGCTCTCATTAGACCAGGCTGGTCTCGAACTCACAGAGATCCCCCTGCCTTTGTCTCCCGAGTGCTGGGCAGTTAGTCTAACCAGCTGCAGATCCTGTTTCCCCTTCCCAGGCATTGCAGGTGAGTCACCACACCCACCCCGCAATTACATGGGTTCTGGGGCTCCAAACTCTAATTCTTAAGCTTCCTGGGCAATCATTTTAACCCCTAAGGGATCGCCCCAGCCCTAAGGCCTTTTAAGAATATTTACTTGTATGTATATGTTTGTGTGTGTGTGTGAATATGTGCACACATGCATGTGCACCAGGAGGCCAGAAAAGGGCATCAGAGTGTCTTCCATCACTTGCACAGAAAGACAGTCCTTTCCCAAACGCAGGGCTCGAGTTCGCTCTGCTAGGCTGGAGTCCAGCTTTACCATGGGTGTTGGGATCCAAACAAATATTCTCATGATTGTGTGGCAAACACTTTTCTTAACTGCTGAGCTAGTTCTCATCCCCTAAAACTACAGCCTTGAGCATGCCAGACCATTGCTGTGCTACTAGTTATTTCCCCAGTGCAGTTATCATTTCCCCCGGGGTTTCATCATGCCGAGGGTGTATCTCAGCGAATAGAGTGCTTGCCTAGCATACACAAAGCCCCAGCCCTGCACACACCAGGCCGGGTGGAGCACATCTGCAACTCCAGAACTCAGGAGGAAGAGACAGGAGGATCAGAAGTTCAAAGTCACCCTCAGTTACAAATTAAGTTCAGTTTGACCTGCCATCAGACCATGCTGGTGTGACAGCTGTTATCAAGTGTGTTGTCAATGTGTAGCCTCAAATTCATGATCCTCCTGCCTCAGCCTCGATTGCTGCAGTTAAAGCAACTATCTACACCACCATGCTTGGATTCAAAGATAATTTAATCTTCCCAGGGCCTACTGGTTACAGTTCATGTAGAGACATGGGGGTCCAAAGGGACCCTCTGCAAAAGAGGAGGGACAGGCATGCAGTGTTAGGCCATGGCCAAGCTTGGGGTTGGATCCACCACTCTCCTGATACTCGGGATGAATCAAAATTTGTGTGACTAGAATTCAGAGTTTGAATTTTAGCCCCCTGACTCCTCTGACTGGCACTGTCTTCAAGGGACAGGGAACTGTCATAGTCAGAAAGAGCCTGGGTTTGGCAGTGGGGGGAGGGGCTGTGGTAGACTGCTGCCCAGCATGCACAGGTATGCCGTCACACACCTGTCATCGCAGCACTATCAAGGAAGGAACAGCAGGGTTGAATGTTCAAGGCCCTAACTATCTTGGAACTGTGTGTAGACCAGACTGACTTGAACTCACAGGGATCTGCCTGCCTCTGACTCCTGAGTGCTGGGATTAAAGGTGTGGGCTGCCACAGCAGACTTGACTTTCAAGCTCACTTGGAAGAAGTGTGTGAGGCCTCAGTCCTATCTTTACAGCCGGGACTTGTTCTTGCTGCCAGAGTTGTGCAGAACTGCATTTTCTGCCCTGCTTTTTGTTTGTTTTAGTTGTGGAAACTTGAGATATTTTACAGGACTTTAATACAATGTGCTTATTTCCTTTCCTTTTTACTTTTTTATTTTCAGACAGGGCCTCACTGTGTAGACAGGCTGTCCTTGAACTCACTGTGTAGACCAGGCTGAACTCCAACTCAGATCCTCTTCCTCCCCCAGTGTTTGGATTAAAGGAGCACACCACTCAACCCCCACCCCCAGGGGGCAGTGTATGAGTGCATGTGTGTGTGTGTGTGTGTGTGTGTGTGTGTGTGTGTGTGCGTGTGTGTGCGTGTGCATGTGTGTTGCTGAGGATGGAGCTCAGGGACTTGTATATGTCTGCCAGGCAAGCACTGTACCCCCGAGCCACACCTCCCAGACAGATGGCTCCCTTTCTTTGTGCAGCACGGGCTTGGAACTCACTCCATCAGCAGCTGTCAGTTTTGGACCCAGGCCTTGAGACCATTTGGCTTCCCAAACTTTGTAAGAATTTATAGCATCTCACCCACCATGAAACACTCACCCAAACGAAAGCTTAAGCCACTTGTGAGATTTCCAGACAGGTTCCAAGAATGATCAGACAGGGAGTGTGCATTCTGGAGGTCAGTCTACTTCATGGCAGTCTTGAGTGCATTGACAGGCCTGGAGGGGAAGTCATCCTGATGGCTCAGATACCATGTGACCACAGCTTGGCTATGGCGGCCATGCTTTATAGTAATAACTCATTTCTACTGTGTTTGTGCAATCCTCCAGTCCTGGTAGATACTTTTTTGTTTGTTTTTCAACACAGGGTTTGTCTATGTAGCCCTGGCTGTCCTAGAACTCACTCTGTAGACCAGGCTGGTCTTGAACTCACAAAGATCCACTTGCCCCTGCCTCCTAAGTGCTGGGATTGAAGGCGTGCGCCACCAACCCTCAGCTACTTATTTACTTTAGACACTTCTAGAAGCAATTTGGAGATACATTTAAGAAGCTTCCTAGTACCCAGGCAGTAGTGGCGCTCACCTTTAATCCCAGCACTCAGGAGGCAGAGGCAGGCAGATCTCTGTGAGTTCGAGGGCAGCCTGGTCTATAGAGCAAGTTCCAGGATAGGCTCCAAAGCCACAGAGAAACCCTGTCTCGAAAAACAAACAATTAAATAAATGAAGAAAGAAAACCAAAAGTGGGCTGTGAGCCTAGTGGATTTTCTTCATCTACCACCATTAAGTCAGCTGTCACTCAGACTTTGGGACCGCTGGGGGAAACTGATGGCTAAGGCTGGAGGCGTGTCTCCCAAATACAGCCCTTGCCTAGCATGCCCACCCCACCCCACTGTTCCTCCACTGATGGTCATGGCGGGATGCATGCCTGCCCACCTGACCGGACCCCTCCTGTGCCCACAGGTGGCCATGGTGGAGGTGCAGCTGGAGACACAGTACCAGTACCCACAGCCCCTGCTCATCGCCTTCAGTGCCTGCACCACGGTGCTGGTGGCAGTGCACCTGTTCGCTCTGCTCATCAGCACGTGCATCCTGCCCAACGTGGAAGCTGTGAGCAACATCCACAACCTCAACTCCATCAGCGAGTCACCCCATGAGCGCATGCACCCCTACATCGAGCTTGCCTGGGGCTTCTCAACCGTCCTGGGCATCCTGCTCTTCCTGGCTGAGGTGGTGCTGCTCTGCTGGATCAAGTTCCTCCCGGTTGATGCCAGGGGCCAGCCAGGCTCCCATAGCCACACGGGCTGGCAGGCCGCGCTGGTGTCCACCATCATCATGGTACCCGTGGGTCTTATCTTCGTGGTCTTCACCATCCACTTCTACCGCTCCCTGGTGCGGCATAAGACCGAACGCCACAACCGTGAGATCGAGGAGTTGCATAAACTCAAGGTGCAGCTGGATGGGCAGGAGAGAAGCCTGCAGGTGGTGTGAATGGGGCCTGCACGGTTTGGCACAGCCTGCAGGAGAGTGACCCTCAGGTGGTGTTAGCCACAAAGCCATTACGCTGGTAGGAGTAGCTAAGGGGTTGTCAGACAAACCCTGGATTTGTGAGAACCACCACGGCGTCACAAGAGCCACAGTGGGGATTGCTAAGACTGCAGAGATGCTGCCCAATACTCCCAGACTCCTCGGATGAATAAAGGAGTGAGAATGCCATTTTATCAGAAGCCAGAGGAGGAAACATGATCACATGGCCCTGGGGACTTCCTGGATCAGGGACAAGCTGAAAACACTTTGTCCTGGGAAGGGGTCCCAGAGGTCATGATAGATCTCAGATTTCTGGACCTTGTGACTGGCAGGGCAGGACTGAATTCCTAAAGCCAGCTAAAGGGCTGGGGCTCAGTTAGTAGCTTGCCTAGTGTGCAGGAAGCCCTGGGTTTTGAACCCCAGCACTACATAAACCAGATGTGGTCATCCCAGTTCTAGGGAGGTGGAGGAAGAATCAGGAGTTCGAAGTTGTCCTCTGCTACATGGTGAGTTTGAGGCTACGTGAGACACCGTCAAAGACGTGCATGCATGCATGTGAGCACACACATACATACACACATGAAGACTAGGCTGCTGGAGAGGGCAGAGATGAGCCCAGGGCTGGCACAGGGTAACATGGCTCATAATGACACACAAGGATGTGGTGACTGACCTGTGGTTCATCTTGGTGCTTTCCTCCAACTCTGGAGGGTATCATGGGGTGTTTAGGATCCAGGGGCACACAGCAGCTCGACAAGGGTAACGGATACCATTATTGGAATCAGAGTTGCCTGGTCCTAGAGAGATGACCCAGTGTGGGAGGCTTGGCAGGGTTGAGAAGAAATGTCCCAGAGCCCTCCACCATGGGCTCGCTGAGGTCAGAGATGGACATACCACATGCAGCAGATTCCCATGCAGAGGTGTTCACCTCTTAACCACAAAATGGGCCTGAGCCAGCCACCCCTGTGGACTGTGTCAACGCAGGCAGGGGCACCACCTCAGACCAGCCAGCTCAGCTCCCTGTTGCCTGTGGCCCCCAGATGTTGAGAGGATAAACTGGAGGGACTTCCTGTTTTAGCACAGTGGTTAGCCTGGTCTGGCCTATGGCTGCGGCAGGGCCCTGTCCCAGCCTAACATACACAGGTATTTCTTATGATAGGCCCAGTCAACTGCAGAGAAGAGGGGAGGGACCTCAACACCCTGTTGCTGGCCCTGCCAGGACTCTGTGTAGGTTCCTGCCCCTGTATTTGCACAGCTGTGCATGAGTTTGGCATTGTCGCTATGGGCATCTGGCCACCCAGCTGGTGTTACCGTCCATACCCTGCAGTCCAGCACCAGTTTGCATGGGAACACTGTGTTTACGCATTTCTGCGGCATCACCCAGACGGGGTTTTGATCTCTTACTCTATAAATGGTCACTGGGCTCCTGCAAGTGCCACTTCTGTTTCTTACAACAGCTTGTCTCTGGAGTTTGGTGCTGTAGGATCCTGGAGGGGCCGCCTGGAGTCTCTGGAAATGGGTCACACTGTTGAGCATAAACTTCGACACACAGAGGGCCCGGGGGAGCCTTTTGGAGCATCTTCCTTGTAAACTGTGACATCTTTGGGGAACTAGGACATGGTGTCCTGTGAACCCAGGAAACTGCCCTCTGTTTTTCAAAGGCATGTCCTTCAACACCCCTCCACCCCTGAAGACATCTGTCGTGAGACCCTTGAGATCTCAGACCTCTGTGCTTTCCTGGGGTCTTTGGGAAGGCTAGCTTAGTTTGATTTGTTTGTTTTGCTGAAGGGTGCTAGAATCATGGGTGGGCAAGATGGCTCAGTGGGTAAAGGCACTTGCCACCAAACGTGGAAACCTAAGTTCAATCCCCATCCTCTGACCTACACACAAATAAATATAGTAAGAAAATGGATTTAATATTACATGGTAAGATGGCACATGTGTCCCATCAGGGAAAAGACAGGGTGACGTTTTGGAATGAGTGGCTCCCACTGCTGTACACCTCTTGAAGCCATGTTGAAGGTGGAGGATGTAGCTCAGTGGGTTGTGTTTGCCTGTCATACATGAAGGCCCCTGGATGAGATTCTGTATCACATAAAGCAAACACGGTGGGATGCATCTGGAATTGCAGCATTCAGGTGACGGAGGCTGGAGGATCAGGAGTTCAAGGTCATGACTAGTTCAGGGCCAGCCTGGGTTTTTCAGACTCTATCAAAAAGGTGGGAGGAGGCCGGGCACTGGGGAGGCAGAGGCAGGAGGATCTCTGTGAGTTCAAAGCCAGCCTGGTCTACAGAGCGAGTGCCAGGATAGGCTCCAAAGCCACAGAGAAACCCTGTCTGGGGGGGGGGGGGGAGTGGGAAGAGAGGGAGTGTGCCAGCAGATGGCTCAGTGGTTAGGAGCACCTACTGCTCTTGCAAAAGACCAGAGTTCAATTCCCAGCATCCACATAGGCAGCTCACAACTACCTGTTAACTCTCATTCCAGAGGATCCAGTGCCCTCTTCTGGTCTCTGCAGGCACCCACACGTGTACATATAAACACAAAGTAAAAAGGAGGAGCTCCTGTAGGACATTGAACCCATTACTTCCACCCATTTTCTGAGACCATTTGGTGCTTCAGCTCTTGGTGTGTAACTCCTGTAATCCCTCATGTTCTGCCTTTTAGTCTTCCCTTGGGACAGTCATCAGTGTGTAAACAGAGGTGACTGCCCATGAGGTCCCTGGTGGGCATAAGTCCCAGGGCCATCCCAGAGCTTTGTCAGGAACTGGAGGATAAGCCTTCACTGTGAACAGTGACAGAAGCCAGCAGAACAGGCTGAAGGCTGGAAGTTTGCTTTCTGGAGGCATAACCTGATTTCAAGTCTCGTTCCAACCACAGCCACGTGGCTGGAACCACAGTGGCCCCACAGGGCCTGCACAGGCTTGCCCTAATTTCCTCCATCCAAGATGCAGCCCTTTCTGGTGCTCAAGGGATCGGTGTCCTCACACACACCAAGGCCCTTCCCGACATGGCATACAGCCTCCCATACCCTTGACCACAGTTTCCAAATTCAAGTGTTTCTATTTAAGAAACTTTAAAGGCAGAATGTGATTAGTGTCTTCCAGGAAGGTCTACTGAGAACAAACTACAGGAGCCCAGAGGGCTCAAGACTGACTGTGCCACTATTTCTGCAGGACAGGCCTGTGTGTGGATTTTTTTAGCACTTGCCCTGGATTGAACTGAATAAACTGATAAAGCTTTTCAAAACTCTGTGCTTTTGAGAAGTGTGTGCCATGGTTCGGGGCTCCATCCCAGGGCCTGCTACCCTGCTGACCCTCAATCCTGGCTCTTTACCTGGAGTCTATGCATCATCTCTTGTTGGTCACTGCTGCTCCTAGGATGGACAGCCAGGCATACGTTGAGTGAGGTCCCTGTTGACTGGACCGGAGAGAACCTTGCACTTGGCAGCAGATGCCTCCTTTCTGAAGATGGGGAAAAGATAGGCCCGATGTGGATGGCTGAGGTCAGCTAGATTTCTCAGGCTTCTAGAAAAGGACCCCGGAGGTTGTTGATCCCTCTGGTTCCTGTGGCTCTGGGGCCACCACCCAGGTCACCCACTGGGGCCACCAACAAACAAGACACCCAGGACACTCTGGAAAAGCTGTCCAGACATGGGGGTCCCTCCTAGGAGAAATTTTTTTCTTGGTGTGTGTGTGTGTGTGTGTGTGTGTGTGTGTGATGCATATATATACCTGTTGTGGAGGGCAGAGGTCAATTCCAGGTGCCATTCCTCAAACATCATCTTTGGTTGAGACATGACTGGGAACTTGGCAGTGGGGCTAGCTTGTGTGTCTCGGGAAGCCCAGGGAATCTTCCTGTCCCTGCCTCCCCAGTGCTAGGACAAGCATGTGCCACCAACTAGTTTGTTTTTTTAATGTGGGGATGCAATTCATGTCCTCCTGTCACTTTGGAGCCACTGCCCCAGCAAGTCCTCGAATGGTTTTTGTCTTTTACTGTTACTACTCCCCTACGCCCTCAGCCCAGAGGATCCTGGGAGCCGGGTGTACAGAGCACCAACATATGGGGAACAGCTCCACAGGCCAAGGGCAGCTGAACAGGAACTGGGCTCAGTGTACAGCCAGCCAAGACACAGTTTGCTAGCCCTGAGCAGGTCAGCGCTTAAAATGAAACCTGGTTCATTCGTTCTTTCGATCGTTCCTTCCTTCCTTCGAGACACCATGTCCCTCAGACTGGCCTTGAATTTGCCATGCATCCCAGGTTGGCCTGGAAGTCAGTCCTCCTGCTTCTGCCTCCCAAGTGTTGGGATCATATACGAGTGTCCCACCCCTGATAGCCAGTCTTTCTTACTCCGAACAGGAAGCCACAGGAAACTGCCCATGGAGCAGACACTTCCAAGTTAGTACAGTGTGCACACACACACACAGGCTCTCCTGGTTCAAGGCTGATGCAGAGGATCAGAATAGGTGGCCAAGGCCACAGGAGCTGGACCAGAAAGCTTGAGAAATCTTGAAGGGACTCAGGGATGACGGCTTAAGGCACTAAGAAGCACAAGCATGCTGTCACCCTTTCTGTGGTGGGACTCGGAGGCCAGCCTTTCTGTAGCACATAGGACCCTGGGCTCCAGAGCCATCTGTGATCTACAGCCTAATGCCTGATGTGAACAGCCATGGTGGAGGTGTAAAGTGGAAGTCAGCAGTGCTTAGCCCAGATTAGCTTGCAACATGTGATCCTCCTGCCTCTGGAATGTCTCTGTGTCATATCCAGCCTGTCTGTAGCAGTGTTCCCTAAATAAGGTAAGTTGTGTCATTGCCAGAAGGGGACCTACCCAGCGCTGGTAAGCACCAGGCTGGGCTGGGGAGGACTGTTTAATTATGTTTGCAGCAAAGGGCCACACAGGTGAGATTCAAGCCTCTCTTCTCGGGGCCCCACCTCGTACAAGACCAGCAATCTGTTATAGCTCAGCTACACTCCCCAACCCCTCACTGGGGATTCTAGGCAGGTGTCCTACCACTGGGCTACTCCCCAGCCCCTCACTGGGGGATTCTAGGCAGGTGCTCTACCACTGAGCCACACTCCAGCCTCTCACTCAGAAGCAGAGGCAGAAGAATCTTTGTGAGTTCATGGCCAGTCTGGTTTACAAAGTTCCAAGCCAGCCAAGGCTACACAGTGAGACCGTATCTTAAAACAAAAACAAAATAATTATAATTCCTTCACACAGAGATGGGAGGAGAAAACCATTTCACATGGGAACACGGGTTTTCTTTTATTATAAATTTTATCAGAGAGGCAATGTATGTGTGGAAGTCTGAGGACCACTTGCAGGAGTTGGTCCACTCATCCACCATGAAGGTTCCAAAGACTGAACTTAGGTAGTCCAGCTTGATGGCACTTTACCACTGAGCCATCTTGCTTCTCCCAAATACTAAGGTTTTTAAAGATTGAATTCCTCCAAACTGTGACAAATTAAATAACTCAGAGAGCAGCCAAGAGCCAGGCCCATCAGAACCAGCCTGGGCAGGGTATGTCATGATCAGAGGTCACGTGCTTCTCAGAAAACCTAATCAGTGGGCTGTCATCCCAGCACTTGGGAGGCTGAGGAAGGAGGATTGGGAGTTCAAAGCCAGGCTACATAGTGAGTTCCAGGCCAGTCTGGTCCATACGAGACCTTGTCTCAAAATCCCAACAGGGTAAGGGTATAGCTTAGTTGGCAGAACACTTGCTTAGCAAGCAGGAAGCCCTGGGTTCCATCCCAGTACCTAAACAACAACAACAACAAAAAACCCCAAGCACTGTGGTGCACACTGACTATCCCAGCATTCCGGAGACAGAGGCAGTAGATCAGGAGTTCAAAATCACCCTTGGCTGTATATCGGCTGTAGGCCAGTTTAGGCCAGAGACTCTGTTCAAAAAGAAAAACAAAACAAAACAACTTGATAAAGCCAGGCCTGGTGTGCACACCTGTAATCCTAGTACTGGGGAGTGGAGGCATAAGGATCAAGAGTTCCAGGTCATCTTCAACTACAGAATACACTTGAAGGCAGCCTAGGTACATGAGACCTTGTCTCAAAAAAAAAAAATCACATGAATCTAATGATTTGTGGAAAGGCCTCAGGGGTGTGCTCACACACATACACGGGCCTTCCTTGTGCTCAGGGGTGTGCTCACACACACACACACAGGCCTTCCCTGTGCTCAGGGGTGTGTTCACATACACACACACATGGGCCTTCCCTGTGCTCGGGTGTGCTCACACACACACACATAGGCCTTCCCTGTGCTCTGGGGTGTGCTCGCTCACACAGGCCTTCCCTGGAAGGAGAGGGCAGCCTGCAGCAGCTCCTGCCCCAGTTGTTGCCGCTTCCCTCCAGGCAGGAACTCATTGGACAGCTCTCTGAAGGTGGCGCAGACACGACGGGCCACGATGTGTCTGCGGTGGATGGCATGTGTCCACTGATGCCGGGCAGCCCCTGTGAGCACCAGCAGGGAGCGGCAGGGCACACAGATGGCTACCTCCACCTCCTGGCAAGGGACAGACCTGCTAGGGGCCACGATGCTGCCATCAAAAACATCAGGTCCAATGGAGAGGGCTGAGCAGAGCAGCAGGCTGCCAGGGGCCTCACAGGACATGGACACCACGGTGGCAGATAGCAGGTTGAGGCTCACCAGGCGCTCGCCCCACAGCCAGGCATCATCCAGGTGGGGGTCGATGGCTGAGCCCCGCTCTGGGCTGTAATCCAGATTACACTGTTCCACAGGCTGGAAGTCCTCCAGCCCTGGGTAGACGCCCATTCTCTGGACCACCTTCTGGCTGAAGCTGGGGAGACCCTGGAAGCCAGCCATCTTCAGTTTCTGCTTCCGAAAATTGACTTTTGGGCCATAGTCCTGGAGTGGAGACAGGAAGAATGGAGGAGGGGCTCAGCTTAAGAAATGCCAACTATGAACTGGGCATGGCTGGTGCATGCGTGGAATCCCAGCACCTGGGAAGCTCAGGTAGGAAAACTGCCTACAGTTCAAGGCCAGCTGGGCTAAAATGAAACCTTGTCTTGAAGGGGAAGGGGGAAAATGCCAGTGTAGTAATGCCTACAATCCTAGCATTTGTGAAGTGGAGGCAGGAGGATTGGAAACTCACCTATATAGCAAGTCTAAGAACAGCTTGAGTTCCATGAGACCATGTTGTGGGGGAGGGGCTTCTTGGAGTGAGAAGGGACAGGAGTCCAAGGTGGGAGTACCCACGGAAGCCACAGTCTGTCCTGAGGGTCAGGAGCAGAGTTGGTGGCTGGGGTGGTCCCAGCACAGGAAGAAACTTGAAGGGACCTCCTATGGCTGATTTAACCAGACACTCCGGTGCCAGGGACAAAGAGTGAAGGGTACCTTTGAAGCTGCGGTAGGAACTGACTAAAGTGTGAACTGGGTGAAGGGGGAAGAACAGGAAGAGGAGGACCATGGTCCTGACACAGAACGAGCGAGCTGATAAGGGATGTGATGAGATGGGCGATGCCTGGCAGCCTCCAGTAGCCATGCAGGATGGAGATCCTATTTAGAACTTATCGTCTCCCAACCAATGAGACAGTAGCATAGAGACAGCGGCAGCCCTGCTCGATGAGGAAGCCCACACCCCTGTGACTACTCGCCCACTCCCTACCAAACATCCCTAGGGTGTGGCCACAGGAGATAGCCAGGGGCCTCTGACAAACAGACTGCCCCTTGGCCCAGCTAGGGCCACCATACCTGTTTCCTTCGCCCAGACTGAGAGAGCTTCCAGGGGTCACTGTCCATCATACACACCATCTCAGCCTCTTCCTCTGGGGTCACCATGTCCTGTCACTCCTGGGAAGGGGAAGGCCCAACCCTCAAACTCAGAGTCCTCAGGCCCCATGGCCCAGCCTGTGTCCGGGCAGTAAAGAAAATGGTATTTTTTCTGTAAAAGACAGAGATGGGATGGAGTGATGGCTCAGTTGATGAAGTGCTTACCTTGCAAAAACCCACACGAAAAAAGCCAGGTGTGATCATGCATGCTTACAATCCCAGAGCTGGGGAGGCAGAGACAAGAAGACGAAGGACAAGCTATTGTGGCCTACTGGGCAAGTTCTAGGCCAGTGAGAGACGCTGTGTCAAAACACAAGTTGGGTATCTGAGGTTGTTCTCTGGCCTCCGTGTGTACATATGTACCTATATACACACACCTAAACAGAAGCACCATAGAACCACCAAAGACCCGCAATACCCACATGTAGGTGAACTTGTAGCCACGCCTGCTTAGGGGCTGGCTACAGGTCTGCCTGACCAGCCTGAAAAGAGAGTGTGGTCAGGGTGACGTAGAGGGAGAGGGTCAGGGCTTCGTTTCAGTTTCGTTTCCCCTTTTCAGCTTGCGTACACACCGCTGCCACGCCGCTGGCAAGGTCCCTCTGTAAGTAAGGCTTTTCCCTATTAAATACCCTTATATTTCCACTTGGCTCCGTATTGGTAATTTCTCACTATACCCACATGTGCCCTAGGTCCCCAGGAGCTTCTGGCCTCTGGGGTTCCAATGTTCTTGGGACTGAAGCCATTTGGAGAGGTGTCTGGAGGCCCTGGGGGGACGAAGACAGAATGGAGCTCCATGCAGCCCTCTGAAGCAAATATGAATTCCCATCCTCAAATTCATTTCTTTCTTTTTTTTAATTTTTGTTTGTTTTTTTGTTTTTGGTTTTTCAGACAGAGTTTCTCTGTGGCTTTGGAGGCTGTCGTGGAACTAGCTCTTGTAGACCAGGCTGGCCTCAAACTCACAGAGATCTGCCTGCCTCTGCCTCCCAAGTGCTGGGATTAAAGGCGTGAGCCATCACAGCCCAGCTCGAATTCATTTCTTTGCTCTACAAGGAATTGGCCCTAGGCCGGGATGTGGGCACTGTTCCTATCACCTGACCCCTCAGGGTCATGAGGAGCAAAGGGTAGAAGGCTGGATCAGGATGCTGAGAAGTCGGCTAACCCTGAGGCTGTGGTCTGGGGGGCCAGGGGTTGGGCAATGCTTGTTGGAAGCCATAGATTCACATTTTCCTCAGCCCAACTCCTGCCTCTTCTGAGACGGAGAGGTGTAGGTAGTGTTAGACCCCCGAAAACTCAAGTATCCGGGGTCCCAGGCCACGTTCTCGGTCATCCCAATCACCAGGCGGATTCGTGCTGCAAACTGCACGAGGCTTTATTGTAATTTAACGAGCTAACCACATGTTAGCTCGGGTCTTTCACCCACCTGCCATGGTGGATGGCTAGAAAAGCTCCTAGGGGCTCCCCGAAAGATCTTATAGGGCAGCATAAGGGGAGTGTCTAGGGGTACGCACAGGCTCAGGATTGGTGTGCCTCCAGGCTTGGAGGGCTTGCCCTGTGTTGATTGGTCAACTGATTGTTATGGCCCATAGACCCTCCCAGGGTGGTTGCTATGCTCTCTACTACGTCATTGCTGTGTGCTTGTCCGTAAAGCACACCCAGGGTCGTAAAGCATAGCGCAACCAGCTAACTTCCGATTGGTTCCTTGTCACGAGACAGGCATCTGACTTTCTCTTGGCCTGGAAAAGCTCATAGAAGCACGTGTTCGGCCATTATGGCTGCCAAAAGGGAAGCTGGTTCCTTCAGTAGCAGTAGAAACTCATTCAAAAAGGGTCAGCTTAGGGGCTGGAGGGATGGCTCAGGGGTTAAGAGCACTGGATACTTTTCCAGAAGACTGCGGCTCAATTCCCAGCACCCACATGGCAGCTCACACCTGTCTGTTAACTCCAGTTCCAGGGGATTCGAGACCCTCACACAGACATATATGCAAGCAAAACACCGATTATTAGAAGTCAGGCATTAGGCTGGCCTGCCTGTCACCTGGCAGAATGCACTCAGGCAGTACCCTGGTCAACCCAGAGTTCCAAGGACCCCTTTAAAAGAAAGACCCCCTCCCCCACTTATGCTGTCTTTCACTCTTTCATGCTATTCCTCTGGGGCAGACAGGACTTTTCCTGTCTCCCTCTTCTCTCCTGTCATCTCTCTGTCTCTGTGTCTCTTTACCTCTTTTCTCTTTCCTTCCCCCACTTACCCTTTCTAATAAAACTTAGAATCTGTCTGCCTGGCATGTTTGTCCCCCGACGCAGTCAGTCACCCTTGCCTGCCATGGAATCCACCAAGGTCCCCCACAAGCTTTATCATAGCTTTTATTATAACACCAATGACTGTAAAATAATATAGATTATTTTAAAAAGGAAGGGGGTAGCTCAGATAGCAGAGTCCCTGACTAGCATGCATGAAGCCTGGGTTTCATCACCAGCAAAATACATGTAATTCTCGTGTACAGGTGTTAGGAGCAAGATGGTCAGAGCTCATGATCATCTTGCACTATATAGTAAACATGGGCTACATGAGACCAGTCCCAAGTACCCCCACCACCATCAAATGCTTAACTTGTAGGACATACATACCACATTTAGTGTCTTAACCATTCTCTCTGTCCAGTTCAGGGAGCCGAGTACATGGACACTGGTATATAACCACCATGCTTATTCACTTCTAGAACTGACACCAGACACCCATTAAACATTATTTCCCCATTTTCTTCTCCCACCACTCTACTTTCTGTGTCTATGATTCTATTTTAGATACCTTACAAGATAGACTGCACAGTATCTGTCCTGCTGTGACGGACATGTGTGAGAGCTGGAGACAGAACCCAGGGGACTAGCACATTAGGCAAGCACTCCACCACTGAGCCACACCCCAGCCCCTCACTGGGGGATTCTAGGCAGGGGCTCCACCGCTGAGCCACACCCCAGCCCCTTCACTGGGGAATTCTAGGCAGGGGCTCCACCACTGAGCCACACCCCAGCCCCTCACTGGGGAATTCTAGGCAGGGCTCCACCACTGAGCCACACCCCAGCCAGTGATTAGCTTCTTTCACTGAGCATCATGCCCTCAAGGTTAATCCATGTGTAAATATGTCTGAATCTCCTTCCTTTCCAAGTTATGTAACAACCTACTGTTTAGATATCCCAGATTTTTTTTTTTTGTCCATTCATCAGTTTATTGTGTGTCTCTGTCTTTGTTCTTTTGAGACAAAGTCTTAATTAGGTTGGTCTGGTTTTAAACTTGCTATGTAGCTGCAGCTATGTATGAACTCCCAAGCCTCCTGCTTCCAGCTCCCCAGTTGTGAGATCACAGGCCAGCCCCACCACTGCCCACTCTTCAAGTCACACTTGGGTAGCATCCACCCTTTGATTACTGTGGAGGCTACTATGAGCCAGACATGGTGACACATGCCTGTAATCGTAGCATTTGAAAGGGGAGACCTGGGCCTCTAACTAGAGTAAGAAAAACAAAACAAAACAAAATAACTTTCTTTTGCATACTGACCCAGGAACATGGTGGATCATGTGATCGGTCCATGAGGCCCTGCACACCGTTTTTCACAAGATGTTGGGCATTTTAGCACCAACAGAGACTCCTCACCCAAGGATCCTTCTAGTACTTGAATTTAAAGTTCTTTTAAAACTCTTCAGAATATACCGGCCCAGGTATTAAGTCCAAGTTTGGCGCCACTAAAAGCCACAGAGGTGACAGCCACTTCCTGCTTCCAAGACCTCTCCGCAAACTCGCAAACTCGCTGCGGCCGAGGCTGGCCCTGCCTCTCTGCCTTTCAAATGCAGGAATCTGGCGCACACCAGCGCTCCCCGCCCGCTATCCCATTCATTTTCTGATGATGGCACTTAGGGAGCGTCCACTTTTGGGTTCCTGTGAATGACAAAGCTATGAGCGCTCCAAGCAGCTCCCGTTTCACGGGCAAGCTCGGGCCTCAGTTTCCCATTAAGAGGAATAGATTTTCCGGGTTTAAATCTTCTCTCAGCTCGTACCTGAGGGGAGATCTGCCGGGGAGGGGACCCCTGGCC